CATGGTTCAGTCAATATTCAATGAATAAATCAACAGAGGAAGGAACAAGTGACCCAGGACTCACACCCGGTCCTGGCAACTGTGAAACTGGGTGCCCTGCAAACGGCCAGGCCACATTCTGTGAACTTTCCTGCAGCCGCCAGACCTCTGGGGCACCAGGGTGTGCCTATGTCACTATGCCAGTGAGAGCTGGGATTAAGCTTTCAAATATCACGTCTTTGTTCTGCAGATGTGAAATTTATGTCCTGAAATTCCAAGAAGGAAAATAATGGCATTTTATTTCATTGGCTCTTTAAAATATGCTCTGTTCCAAAAGGTTGAATCTATAAACATTACTGGAAATGTGGGAATGGATGCCAGAAATTCCTAGGCTTCGTGTCTGCCTGGGCCAGGATATGGCTGCTGCTCCTGCAGATTATGGGTTAAGAAATATTGCTATTGGACACTTGTTGGAAATTTTAAGCCCCTTGAAAAATATGACTCCATTAGGAGAATCTTGTCAGGAGACACCCAGGCAGCATTTACATTTTTCGATCGATCTCTCTTTTGTGGCATGGCCAGAAGCCCAACCACTGAGCACTTTCAATATTTTTCTGTTTCTCCAACTTCCAGTTGGATTCATCTCTGGAGTATCATGAAATTTCCTGAAATGGTCCTCCCCTGAAATGGACCACAGGATTAAAAAGGCCAACAGGAAAAAAAAAAAAAAAAAATTCCAGTCTGGGTTTTAATGCTTCAGTAATGAACTGGAGGTGGATTATGTACATCTCAGTTACAGGAGGGAAAATATAGGGCACATTTGATTGGTAAATCAAGTATTCCTATGGAGCCAGAGCAGAGCCTGGTGAATGAAATGTTTATATGATTCTTGTGTTACCTGTCCTCTTTTCCTGAGAATCAGGACAGATCTTTAACCTGAATCAGACTGTTGAAAAGGTACGCTAAGGGACTATAAGATTATAATTCCTTCTGTGTCTTAGTTTTCTTGAATAATGATTATGACAAAGACAACAGCAAACATGGCATGGCAAGGATAAAGAATCCACTTGGGGTGGTAACTTCATGCAGGCTTCATGCTCTCTCCAAAAGCAAATACCAAAAAACCCAGAACCCAACTGACTGAACCCAAAACAAACTGACAAAGACTTGAATTAACTTGAGGTGCTAATTACACCATTTGATTTTATCCACATTACATGATCCAAAAGAAATGACTGCCTATATTAAATATGTCTATATAGAAAAGCGCATTGGGGCTTCCCCGGTGGTCCAGTGACTCCATTCTGTTAATGCAGGAGGCCCAGGTTTGATCCCTGTCAGGGAACTATATTCTACAAGCTGCAATGAAGATTTGAGGATCCCTCTTGCCACAAGCAAGACCCAGTGCAACCAAATAAATAAAATTTTAAAGTGCACTGGGGGTGGGGAAGTGAAAGGAAAGATGAACCTAAGAGTTGAAAGTCCAAGGAGACCTAGATGTAACCTTCCTTTTATAGGTTGGTAAATCCAAGGGCATCATTTGGGGCAGTGATGTAAACAGGAACTTCTGTCTTTGTAGGAAGGAACCAGCTAGGGATCCCACAGTTCCCTGTTTGCTTAACAACCTCCCACGGGAAACACAACTCATGGTTTCTTGGCAATGAAGACCTGTTAAATGTAGGTAATCACAAGGGCCCTGAAATGCTTGCCTAAGGTCTTTGGCCACATTAGAAATTATTTTAGCTTTGACTTGATGTGTTTTAGAAAATAAATACTAAGCAAAAGCTCAGCTGTTTGATCAGGGAATGACTTCTTAAGGAAGAATCTGCATCACTGCAGGTTTAAGTGTACAAGGGGGAGACTGGCTGAGATGTTATAGCTATAGGACTCAGTGCACCTCATGTGAGTTTTATACACAAGTTTTATACAGAGGAAAATCTCACTGTCTAGTAGACAGGAGTGAAGGAGTTTCCCTCCTTCCAGCCTCACAGCCACTGCCAAAATAGCATCCCGTATGCCTGATCTCTAAGCTTAAAGGTGGCAAAGGTGTGATAAGACTTAACTAGGGAACAGCACAGCTGCGGGCTGGAAGGGAGCAGCCTCGGTTAAGACACAATGTTCCTAAATTGCCTGCATTTTGGCTGACAGATGCTCCCAGCTGGCTGCTGTGCAAGTCTGCAACTTGCAAAGCAGCCTGGAAAGATGGTTTTGCTTGCCAAAACTAAAGCAAGTAGGAAGCTAGCAGATAGAGCTAAGAGATTTGGTGCATTTTGCTGGTTTTAATCCCCTGCCTACTTTAGGAACTCAAACTGGGCCCAGGAAAGCTTGTTTGATTATTTTAGTTTCATCCGTCTGAGTAGTGTAGGTCTTGGATTATGGACTAAGAATCCTGTTGCTGCAACAGCACCCCTCAATTCACCTTTACACAGAAGCTTCCCTGTTTTTATCAAAATGATTTGATAAAAGTGGTTTTCAAAATGTGGTCCCTGGATCAGCAACATCACCAACTCAAAACTTGCTAGAAATGTAAATCCTTGGGCCCCGTCCCGGTCCTACTGAGTCAGAAATGCTAGAAGTGGGCCAGTGAGTTCTCCAGGTGATTCTGGAGCACATTAAAGTGTGAGCACCACCTCTTCAGGCCAAGCCAATCAGGCAAACTATGACCATGAGAACTGGTGGGACAGAGCTACATATGCAGGAGTGGTGGGAGCAGGCCGAGAGATGCAATGGAACTTGGCGGCCACTCTCCTGATGGCCATTTGTATAAAACTGAGGTGCTGGGACTTCCCTGGTGTCCAGTGGCTAAGACCCCAAGCTACCAATGCAGGGGGCTCGGGTTTGATCCCTGCTCAGGGAACCAGGTCCCACACGACACAACTAAGACCTTGCATGCCGTAATTAAGAGCCAGCACAGCTAAATAAGTAAATATTTAAAGCCAGGAGAGAACCTGGTGAGATCTGGGAAAGTTCCTAAGAGTCTATTGCCTCTGGTAAGGCCTCAAGGGAATGGGTGGCTCCCCGCCCAAAGGAAGGAGCTGTCGCTTCTCACCCAGCACAGCTCTAGTTGGTACACGAGTCTCCTGATCACATTCAAAAGCTCTTTATTATTCTACAGACACGAGAGACTAGATAATGGAGGTGGGCAAGAGGGAGGGAAGAGTGGGCTGCAGCAGCCCCGTTAAGGGGTTCAGCAGAGAGAACTATTCCACCACTGAGAATCATGTCAGAGATTCTTGCCAAGAGTCAGAGATTCCTTAAAAGCCACTGCTGCTACTGCTGCTAAGTCACTTCAGTCGTGTCCAGCTGAATCCCCACCCCTGGGATTCTCCCGGCAAGAACACTGGAGTGGGTTGCCATTTCCTTCTCCAATGCATGAAAGTGAAAAGTGAAAGTGAAGTCGCTCAGTCTTGTCACATCAACAGATAAACAGATAAAGAAGCTGTGGTACATGTATACAGTGGAATGCTACTCAGCCATAAAAAGAACACGCTTGAGTTGCAGTGGGGTGGATGAACCCAGAGCTTGATATACAGAGTGAAGTTAAGTCAGAAAGAGAAAAACAAACTTTGGTTATTAATGCATATACATATGGGATCTAGAAAAATGGTACCGATGAACCTATTTGCAGGGCAGGAATAGAAATGCAGATGTGGAAAACAGAAAACTTGTGGACACAGCAGGGGAAGGAGAGATTGGGACGAGTTGGGAGAGTAGGACTGACCTGCATACGCTACCATGTGGGAAACAGACAGCTAGTGGGAAGCGGCCGTACAGAACAGGGAGCAGAGCCTGGTGCCCTGGAGGGGTGGGATGGGGGTGAGGGGATAGAGGCTCAAGGGGGAGGAGATATATGTATACACATGGCTGATTCACGTTGTTGTCCAGCAGAAACCAACACAACACTGTAAAGCAATTATCCTCCAATTAAAAAAAAATTTAAAAAGTCGCTAGTTTGGCCACCATGAGCCAAAAATTGCTTCATCACCACCATCACCGTCACCACATCTTCATCATCAAGCTACAGCCAAACAAGCAGCCAGCTACGTGCCTGGAACCACAGTAGATGTTTTATTTAAATCCTCTCTAGTCCTCCCAGCAGCCCTGCAAGTTTGGTGGTATTACACCAGTGTACGGATAAGCAAAATGTAGCCCAGAGAAGGTAAGAAGCAGGTCCTAACTAACTAACAATATTAGTTAACAGGGGCTGAGACAGGATTCTTACCCTTCTCTGGCATATGACACAGTCAGTCTACAATACTCCTGTCTGCGGTTTCCATCTGCCCTATGACTAAATACTTCCAGGGACAAGGTCCTCCTTACATCCTAGGGCAGTTCATCTTTAGGCTACTGGACTGCTTTTTTGTTTATCAGTGCCAAAATCTACTTCCTGGCAGAATTCACTCCCTTGTCTTGAAGCTGGCCCTAGTTACACGCCAGGTGACTCCACAGGACACAGCCAACTCCTTTTTCCCCCACTGATAATTCTATCTGCACAGAGTTCCATGAATCTTTACTTCTTTCAATTAAAAAGCTGGTTTCTTTCCTCCCCTCTTCTGTTCTAGAAAGGCAGACAGGCTCTTATTTTAAATCCTTGACAGTCCGTATTCATAAGCAGACATCTACACCTCATAGAGTGCTGGGATGGTATTCCTTATGTTTCTAATGACTCTTTGAGCCATTGTGTTTATGCACCTTTAGCAGAGACATAAATCAACACCCTCATTATTCCTCAACCAGCCCAGAGAGCAAAACAGGTCACAGAGTGATTCAATCTCAGGGTGGAAGGGAAACCCTTTTCTAATGTTTCCAGGATAAGGCCTTTGACATCAACTTGGCTGTACTTTTCGAGATGCCAACCCAGAGCCTCACAGCCCTGGGGCTGGATGAGGCTGGGTGACCACACGTGGGTGCAAAACTGAGCTTCAGAATCACACACAGACGACGCCCTACGTTCCTGAACCCTGGTGTGACTGATGGAGACGGAGGCCACAAGGGTCACTCACAGGAGCTGGCACTCTTACCCGGCAGCACCCTGGTCTGGGACCTTGAGGAAATCCAAGCTCTCCAGCGCCTGTGACACTCGGTCCGAGCCGAGGGACTGCTGCTGTGGCAGAGGCGGGCGTGCCATGGATGTGTACAGGCTCTTCTGATTTGACCTCTGGTTTCCAGCAGCATGGGAATATGGCACAAACTGGTTTTTAATGACTCCATTCTGATGCAATCCTAGAAAGAGGAAAAGAGGAGATAACAAAGCTGAAAATTTCTGATGCTTTGCTAAAAGGCTCTTCAAACTTTTCCCCTCTATTAGCCAAGAGCGAGTTACTTAGCTTTGCCAGGCCTCAGTTTCCTCATCTGAGGGCATAACTGCTAATATCATATATTGTGAAGAATAGACCCAAGACATCGTAAATTGCCTGGCAAATGTGTGGAACATAGCAGACACTCATGTGTGCTTGTTGAACTTGACGTTAGAACTACCAGATGTTCAGGGTTTCAAAGCCAACAGTCAAAGAAAGGTAAGCTTCTGACTACTTGGAAGGCACATTTTGGGGTCTAAGAAAAATGATGAGGTTATGATTCAAAAGGGCTGGCAGGCAGCTGTTTAAACAGCTGGACATCCATTTTCAAGGAGTGTACTCTGTGAGAGCCAGTCATGGGAGATGGAGAGAGGAGTCCACCCACAGGGGAAATGTGCCCACTGGTTGGATCAATCTGAACAGAGCAAGCTCTCCTAGTCAAACAACTGTTCCTAGTCAAGATCACATTATCTGGTAAGTAATGGATTATAGTGCTGGGCTCCAAGCCGCACACCTTGCCCGAAAGGGGAACTGTTGTTCTATGTTATATATGCAGAAGCCCTTATCTCTTCTCTCACTGACAGGTTTGGGCAAGAATGAAGGAGAACAAGGCTCCCCAAGGCACACACCAGCAAACCCACCACAAAACCTCTTCCATCCAAATTAAGAGAACAACTCTTTGGTACCAGTGGAATGACACTTAGTTTACAAAGGGGACTTGAGGTCCTAGCCCTTGATCCTTCACCATAGAAAGTATAAGTACTGACATAAGGGACTTGGGTCTAATTGCCTCATTTTATTGATGAAGAAACTGTCATGTACAGAGTTTGGGAGCTGTGCTCAAAGTCAGGTAGTTGGTCTGAGGCGACTTTGGCCAGTGTAGTTGAGGCAAGTGAACTTTCCAGGTGGTCTGGCCAAGATTTTGCATGGTGGCTGGCGCATAAGTAGTAACACAATACTACACTGGTTCTCTTAGGTTCTTTTGTGCTTGGATTTTCTTCAAGAATAAAGGCAGAGAGGAGGAAAGACAGCTGGGCCAGGCAGGATGGGGATTCCAAGAGAGATGAGAATTGGCTTCTCACCGATAGGCACCACTGCCCATACTTTAGCATGCAACTAAGAGATTTCAGGGCAGGAGACAAAAGAAATGCTTCTTACTGCTTATTTTGGATACTGCTACAAATAGATTGCCTTGTTTGGCATGATCTGAGTCAAGCGTGGTCCAAAGATGACCCTTTTAAGACCTACAACCCTAAACTTATTAACATCAAACATTCTGGAGGCAGTTTCTTATTAACTGAATTGTGAGTGATGGAAAAACACTTGTGAATTTGGAGAGTACTCTTCCCATACTAGACAGATTTTTAAGGGCAAAACCTCTTACATTTATTTGGGTTTGGATTTTGACTTGCATGCTATATGTTTATCAGTTAAACAATGAGAAAAATGTAACATAAGATCTAAAAATTTTTTGGTATCAATTTTGCAATTCTTTCAGATGTTACTTTATTTTTTGGAGCCAATCTCCTAGCTCCTATCTGACTAAGAATAAAGACTTTCTATTTCTTCATTCAGCTGTTAACTAGATGCAAAAGCATTGTCAGCATTTGGCTGGAGCTGGGTAGTGATGGTGGGGTTATACCTGCAAATTCCAGTTTCCATTAAGGCAGCATCCTACATCTTAAAAACTGATGACATTCTGGTTGCCATGGGCAGCAACCTCTTCTTCCTCTTACTGATGTAGGAAGCCCTTCCTAAGGAAGTAATACTTCCAGGTAATGAAATGCAAATCACTAACTCAGCTATAGTGTGGTCTCACTGGTTCATGCACAAGTACCATGAATTTTAGGGTCACAGGTAGGGCCATCATGTTAGGAGGAGGACATCTGGCACTGAAACGGCTCACGGCTCGCTAATATGTTGGCATCTGTTGGCTAATGCGTTTCTTCCTCGATGCATTTTACACATCTGGGTCTCGCCTACGGCGCATGCTCGGCTCACCTGGTGGCAGAGGGGCAGCTCTCATTGGGTAGTTGGCATTGTGAGTCCTGCTGGAATAATCTCTGCTTTGAATCGTATTCCTTCGAGTAGGACCTGAAATAGGCGAGCAAGATAAAGTTCAGATCAGTGCTACTGGCTGGTTTTTATGGCTCTTGATGGGTTTTTGCTGGTGGAAAACTTTTGAGAAGTTTGGAAGGCAGGTCTCCGTGGGATCTGCAGGAGACTGATTGCAGGGTGGACAGGCTATGTGAGGGGCATGTTGTCCTGGCAGCTACTGGATGGGAGGGGCCAGAGGACACGTTGGCAGAAGGAGAGATTTGAAATGTCAGAGACAATGGCTTTACAAAGAATTATTAATAAGCATACAAAGGGGCTTCTATTGTTGTTGACTTTGTGAAGATACAGATGGGTCAAATGAATGTTCGCACTCATGATCCAACCACAGAGCACAGAAGCTGAGCCCGCGTGAGCTGCACACCACGGTCCCTGGAGTGGACGTCGCAGCTCCCCCACCTCTGCTGTCGTCCAGAGCCTCCCTCACCAGAGTTTGTGTTCTATAGTCTTTGAAGGAAACACAGAGATGCTGAAGGGGAGCAGCAGACTGGTACCCTTGACACAGATGTGCAAGCATCAGAAAACAAGCAGTGCTAAATGGAGCCCCGTGGGGCCAGAATGAGGCCCCGGGAGGCAGGGCCACTGGGGGCCAGACGAGACCTCTGCAGAGACCATGTGCTGGAAAGGACAACAGTCAACAAGGTCTTGAGTGGGACATGAAGGAGCATACGATTAAGCCAGCTGGAACAGGGCTGCAGAGGAAATTCCTAGTAAAGAGAAGAGCAGGAAGTGGTCAGGCATGAACAGCGCAGAGCAGAGGAGCCGGGTATCAGGTCCTGGGGTGAGGGGAGGAGGCCAGGTGTGGGTGTCCCCCGCCTGCCCCCCGTCCCACGGAGACACGATAAAACACCGCATTAGACAATGTCTCACTTCGAGGCCCACTGAGGGGGCTCTGACTTAACCTGCTGGTTATCCATAGCTCTCCTTGGCCCGGCTCTGTGCCCGGGGGTCTGAGCCAGTGGACTGCTAGGCTTCTGCACTCTAGTTGGGTTTGGCCATTTGGGAAGCAGTGGCAGGAGACCGGGGTGCCAGAGGGGACAGGAGTTGGGGTACTTTTTTTTTTCCTTCAAATTTAAGTATTTAATTTACATTATTGTGTTAGTTTCTGACATATAGCAAAGTGATTCTGAGACATGTTCTTTTTTAGATTTCTGGGGTCTCCTCTACCTACATCCTTAGGGTAATAGTAGTTTCTTGGTTTTCTCTGCCTGAGCCCCAACCCTGTTCCCTTCATCCTGCCCACATCTTTGTAAAGAGTCCTTTTATGTAAAAGTATCTTCAAAAATCCCACCTAAATGTGCTGTCTTCTGCAAGTACTAACTGATACTCAGACATACACCATTTTCTGAGTGGCTACTTTTCTGTGCTGTATTAGTGAGTTACATGAGTACATGCCAGCATGCACCTGGTGGACAGAGCCATAAAGACCTGTTTCATACTTGGCATACTCTTCACTGATCACACATGTGGACTGTATTCTGTAAAGATAGATACATTATATGAGTACATGGCATCTATGATTACTCTATAATGTCCATCCTAAATATAATTTTATAAGTATCACTTACAGAAAAAGTATAGAATAAGAATCTATAGGCCAGGGACTTCCCTGGTGGTCCAGTGGCTAAAACTCTGTGCTCCCAATGCAGGTGGCCTAGGTTGGATCCCTGGTCAGGGAACGAGGTCCCACACGCTGCAACTAAGACCTAGTGCAGCCAAATAAATAAATATTTAAAAAAAAAAAAAAAAAGGATCATAGGCCAGTAAAAGGAGTCAAACTACAGAGTGTGAGTTAGTGCGTGCGTGTCTCCTAATGAAACAATTTAAAGTGAAGGAGGGAGATATCAAACGTGATGCTCTGCAACAGAGTGAACCCCTGTAAGGACGTGGTAAGTGTGGTCAGTTTCTTTAACACTGACACAAAGGATGAAGTTTGTATTGTTGACATGACTGGACTGGAAAGGGCTGGGAAATAGAAATAGATCTGTTTTAAACATAATTAACACTGTAGTGCCAGGAATACTACTCATAACTACTAGATCATTCAGAAAAGTTTAACTTGCCCATTTGCCTTGATGTTGGTTTAGTCTGAAACGTTTCAATCAGAAGAAAACCCCAGCCACAGGAAGCAGTCAGTGTACTAGTTGTTTGGCCTGCAGATCTGTGCAGTGTTAAGAGCATTTGGTGGGAAAGGAGTTTAGCTTGGAGAGAGGGTGAGTAGGAGCCAGGCAGGGAGCCCAGCAGCCCAGCAGCGGCCCTACCCGTGGGGCCCATGCACACTTACGGGAGTTTCTGGGCAGCCCGGGTCCGATGCTGACCTGCAGCACTTTGTTGCTGGGCTTGAGGATGGCCAGATCGCCAAAGCCTTGGTGGAACTGTACTTGCCGGGAGCCCCCTGCACTCCAGGGACCCCAGTTCTCCTTTTTCAACTTGATTTCAAGCCTGTGACAAGCGTATATGTTGGAATTAACAAAGGAAGGGAGAGAAACAGGGAGAAAGTGGTGTTCACAGACCCCAGCCTGGAGTTGTGCTGTAAAAACAAGACAAGACTGGATCATGGGAACTAGTCTGGGGCCCGGTGGACGGGCACGGTGCAGGCTGAGCCACCAACCAGAGGCAGAGCATTTGGGGGCCCAGTCCCTGGGGGATAATAGCTGGTAAGGGAGGTGCCCCAGGATCGGAGCACTGTCCAGTGGAGACAGGTGGGGACAGAAGGAAAGGCCGCCCTGCAGGCCACACCTGCTGTGCTGCATCACCGTGTCCTCTCTGATTGCCCAGGTCTCTGTGTGAGGAGCACTGACAGATGCCAGAGAGCTCATGTCTCCTCTGCACAGAATGCAGCTAGTATTTTTAAGTTTATTTTTTTAAATTATTTTTTTAACTTTTTTTTTTTGTATTGGGGTATAGCTGATTGACAATGTTGTAATAGTTTCAGGTGGATGACAAAGGGACTCAGCCATACATATACATGTATCCATTCTTCCCCAGACTCCCCTCCCATCTAAGCTGAGAATGTGGCTACTATTTAATTAAGTTCTATTCCTCCACCTTCACCCCCATCCCAGGGAGGAAAAGACACTAGCAACCAATACCCAAATAAAAGGGAAGTTTACTCACAAATGCAAAACTCCCCAGCCAGTTTTTTTTTTATTTCCTATGTTGCCCATATGCCTACATAATACAATTCGATATTCTGCTTTTTTAACCTTGTATTTTTATTTTGTAAGACAGAAAAATCATAATTGCCAGTAGCTGCCTATTCTTTTTAGCAGCTTGGGCTTATACATATTCTTACTTTTTTTGAGTTACTTCCTTATCACCAACTCTCAGACAAAAACAACTGCCCCTGGTGTCATGGCCAAATTGTTGTCTGAAAATGCTGTAATGACTTCATTCTACTTCTAGTGTCTATCTCACTTCAACCACAGCAGGATGAGTTATGCTAAGTTCCCCCACTCCTGGAATGAAGGCTTTACTTTGGCCCCTTGCTTGTGAGTAGGAAGAGTGGAGGGTATCCTCATTTTATGGATGGGGAAATTGAACAAGATCAAAAAGTCAAATAAATCACTTGGCAAACATGAGACTAGAAATTCAATAGTCTGCCAATGTCTGGTACATGAGAAGATGTTATTAAAGTGAATGAAGGTGAGCCCAGACATAAGACACTGGCCGTCCACAGCCCCCAATCTCCAAATGCCCCACCTGCAGGTTGTATCATGCACTCATCTTGGGGACTTAAGCCCCAATCACTTTCTTCTGCTTCAGCCTTACACTACTTCTACCTGCTCTGCGAAATAAAATATTCCTGCATTGGTAAGATATAAAAATCTGCCTTTCTTGGCCTCACGTTGGTGACCTTTGCCCAAGGGATAAAACATACCATTCAATGAAGTCATCTCACAGAAATGCAAAAGTAACCGTTCCAAAGTCCATGGCAACCACCCCGACGGTCCCCTGCAGGCCCTATGAGGCCACAGAAGTCAAGGCCCCAGAGCTCCTTGGAGCCACCCAAGCCAGTCAGACCCCACCCCTACTCCGCAGTGGACCCCGGCAGTGAGATCAAAGCCTCAGATCCCAACTTACGTGTTGCTAAACTTCAGAGGTAGTTGCTTCTGGGTTTTTTCCTCGTAACGCTTTGCTAAGAGGCTCAAGAACTCAGTTTTGAAGACAGATTCAAGCAAACTGTCATATTCTTGCTCATGAAGAATAAAAAGGTCATCCTGCATAGTACTGCAAAGAGATTATAAAGACTCAATGAAAGTTACAGTTTTGTTGATTCCATGATTTTTTTTTTACTCTTTTTTTAATCCTGTAATATAGCACTAAATTTCCACCATCTTTCTCTGCTACTGAAAATCTTTAAAACAAAACACAACAACAGTGAAGTACAAAAATAAAGTCCCTAAGATCTACTTTTAAAAGAGGTTTATAGTCCACCAACAGCATAATCAAAATATTCTCTCACATGACTTTTAAAATCAGGAAATTAAGGACAATTTAGTCTGTATTTTTAAAAATCCATTTTCAAATTCAACTTCTATGTTCTTAAAATCATAAAAATCCAGAATGTTATGAATGTGGCAAAAAAGGGACAATTCCCCCTAAGTCCCAAGTCAGCAGAATTTAGGATATGGTTGCAGCTACTGTAATACATCCTAACTTGAAGAACTGTAAGCTCCATTATCAAAAGAGAAGCCAAAGTCCTACACTTCATAGACACGAGTCGGGAGCCTTCAGGTATTCAGTGCTCTGCTTATACTGCCTGCTAAATGCACAAACACATCAAACTGCAGAGAAATGAGAGACAGGTGTACATACAGTAAGCATAATCCCCACCTTCAGGGTGGGTCAGGAAAAAGACATGCCTTTGTGGGAGCTCCTTGTTTGGACAGGGTAGGGCTGTTGGGAAAATTCATACCCACAGTGGATGTTAGGAGCTGCAGGAAGAATGGAAGAAAGAGGCTGAGGGGCTAAGCCAGTTCCAGGGAATATGCTTAGTGCTAAGGGGACTGATTAGATATTTCCTCTCCAGGCCCAGCCAGAGTTTGTGGAAATCAGAACACATATACACTTGAGAATTTGTCTTCCTCAGTTGCTAGATGTATTGCTCAATTGCTCAGCTGAAAGGGGCGCCACCCCAAAGGCTTCATTATATACAACCCTACCATTGCCTCCTAGCAACACTGTCATATATCTAAGACAACCCTCCTAAGATGACGTCTCATTAGGGACAATAAGTGTTTTTCCAGGTACTAAAAACAAAGTAAGTGAATTCACTTCAGTAAGCTGACCACAGAGATTAAATTTTAATCTCTCCAAATGCAGGAAATAGCAATGACGTGGTTCTATCAGTAACACAGGAGCTGTTCCTATGTCTTGCACAACCCAGGACCAGGGCATCAGTAGGATTATTGTGCTGTGACATGACCAGACAGTGAGGCAAGTACGGAGGACTGGGGTAAAAAGAATCTGAGAGCGGGGAGCCTCCTTCCATGGAGTCTGATCCAATGAAACAGCAACTGGGCTTCCCTGGTGGCTCTGACGGTGAAGAATCCGCCTGCAATGTGGGAGACCTGGATTTGATCCCTGGAGAATTCCCATGGACAGAGGAGTCTGGCGGGCGACAGTCCATGGGGTTGCAAAGAGTCGGACACAACTGACTGACTAAGCACACAAAATAGCAACTCCTGTGGTCTCTCTGTTCAGTCACAGGAATTTGACAAGCTGGGGACGGGCAGTCCGTGGGACCAGAAGTCTTCCTGGAGAAGAGAGAGCCCTTGCGGGTGATCCTGGGCTTGTGAGGAACCTTCTCTCTCTGTTCCAAGGCAGGGAGCGAATGACTTGTACCTGATCAAGCTACAGCCCCAGCTCCTCACTCTAAAACCTCAGCCCCTCAGTCTTTCTACAGGAGCTTTTAGTCCACAGGAGAAAAAATGCATAAGGCAGGACCGCAATACAGCTGGACTGCGAAGGCAGAGTATGACGGCATACATAACTTCAGCGGCGGAACGGGGTAGACTAGCAGCAAGATACCATCACCAGGGAAGGAGCCTGGCCCTTCACATCCTGTTTACTGCAAACCAGCAGACCAAACAGCTCTTCCTGGATGTGAAGTCAGAACACTTTACAGGCATGTTGGGGCAGGTAATGGCCGTTTGGGTGGAGCGTGTTGTCATTACTATTACCTCAACAGTGTTTCCAAATATCCCTATGTCACAACCACGCTATCTGCACACTCTTGTAACAGTTGGGATGCAGGTGTTGTTGTGATTGAAGACCCTCACAGCCCGTGGTTTTTAAAGAACCTAGTGTTTTTATCTCTGTTACTCAGGAGCTTAAGAAAAAGCAATCAGGGCCAACATGAAGGTTCTACAGTGCCTGGCAGCCAGGCGTCTACTCTTTACAGGTATGATCAGAAAGTCATACGAGTCATTTCTGCTTCCACCTCATTGGCTAGCATATTGCACATGGTCACACCTAGCGGAAGGAAAGCTGGGAAATGTAGTCTTTGGTTGGGCTGTCAGCTGCTATCATGGAGAGGAGAGAATGGGTATTACAGGACAGCTTACAGTTTCCATTCTACTTCCTTGTTCACAAACTTATCCAACTTTGGAACTGGAATCTTTTCTGAGAACAGTATACCTCAGAAGGTGTGGCCACAACACTCCTATCATCTTCCTGTTTTTAGGTAGATGAAAACTCTGGAATTGTTTTAATTACTTCAACGTCAGCAATTCTAACTCCAAAAGGCACTTGTGTAAAAAGCTGCTCAGAACAACTCTCCCAAGTCATTTGGAATTAATGAAATAAAGTCCCAGCATCCTAACACAGGGCTAAGACGACCTCTGTGTCAGGAAGGAGAGTATACAGAGGGGGAAGAGCTGAACAATAGGCACCACTCTTTGGTGTATAGGGTGGAGTGAAACTCCTGTTTCAGCTGCTGGATTCATGTCTGGGCATGTCCATTTGCCTGGCTGGCCTTTAGGCGGGACAGCAATTATTCGACTGGATTATTAAAGGAGTTCAACACAAGAAACCTTGAGTGGTTTAATGTGTGCAGACTATTAGGAGTTTCATGATCATGAAGAAATAAAGCCAGCAGGCCAAAACATCAAGGTCAATTATCAGCATGAGTTTGGAAATGAGAAGAGACTGTTTGGAAATTAGGACTTCAACCATCAAATTCAAGAGCTCCTCCCTTTGGTGACTGGAGTCAAAAAGTCAGGAAATTCTCTTCACCCAGGCCAGAGCTTCAGCTCATTCCCCTTGCCTCAGCCCAGGTCCCTAGGTCTGAAAACAAAGCTTTTACACCTTGTTTTTTTTTTCCCCTAAAAAATCAGACTTATTTTTGGACTTCACCTCCGTCTTCTTCACATGCTCAAGCTGCAATTCCTTACAGATGTTTGACGTAGGAGCCTATGTTGAAAGAAGCTTAACTAGTCCCTGGTTTGGCTTCTGATTGGCTCCTCTGTTTTTGTGGCTTATTGTTGTACTGCTGACCACACTAGAAATGCTTGGTTTACTCCCTTAACCAAGATCTTCTTCATAAAAATGTTAGTTACAAAACCCCTGGGGAAAGTTTTAAAGGAGTTTTTTCTTTTCTTTTTTAAGCTGAAAAGGCAATTTCAGCTAGGATGGCCCCTGCTTTTATTTAAAGTCTCAAAAAGAAATAGTTTCCTGCTTATGAAATAGATGCTCCTTTAAAAAAAGAATTATATTTCTTTATTTTGGCTGTGCTGGGTCTTTGCTGCAGTACTCAGGCTTTCTCTAGTTGCAGCATGCAGGGGCTTCTCTTGTTGTGGCAAACGGGCTTATTTGCATGTGGGATCTTAGTTCCCTGACCAGGGATCAAACCAGAGTTGCTTGCCTTACAAGGCAGATTTTTAACCCTGGGCTACCAAGGAAGTCCCCAGTGCTCCTTTCAGTAAACAGAACTACAAAGGTAGCTAAAATTAAAAGCAGAAGGAAACAAACCTTATCCTGAACTCTACCACCCATAGATACCAGTAGCACCAGTTTGGGAGCCTACTTAATTTCTCTGAGAAAGTGCAGGTACACGTCATGTCAGGCCTCCTGGGAAGAGCTTCACCCAACCACAGGGGGAAAGGCTCACTCCCACCTTTTGTGTCTCAGGAATATCCTGGAAACCAGTCTCTCCACACCTGTAAGCTGTGTGCCCCATGTTTACACGGGGCATGGCTCCCCCTTCCAGAATGGGGTGGAACGCCTTGAGGCAGGGACTATGTCTCACCCACTGCAAATTCAGAGTTGAACACAAGGCTGGTGGTCAGTCCAAAAATGCAGAAAACTTACAGGTTCCCAGAGCTCAAAATCCATAGCAAGTCAAGATTTCAGGAAAGCATCAGGTCAGCGGAGGAGGCCCCTAGTGAAGTAGGCTGTTCTTATTGCCAGAGGGTTAGGGCAATTAGGCAACAAACCATTTTTAGGCAAGAATGTCATGCCCAGGAGGGCTGGGGCCTCTGTCTAAAGCCCACTCCTTCTAGGCTGACTTTCCTAGTATGTACAAGTACTGGAAAATCTACTGACCCAGGCAGGCAGCCCCAAGGCTTTTGATCTTAGGCCTTGGGGGGGTCAGCAACAGGAAACAGAAGGACTACTAGAAGCTTCATCAGAGAGAGCTCCATATAGGAGATTTTATGTTTCAAACCTCATCAGCTACAACAGGAGGGCAAAGAATACAGGCCATTGTACCTTCTGACCACTCTTCCAGGAAATTGAGTTTTTCAAATAAGAGCAAGATGAGGTCAGTTCCTTGATGGCTCAGTGGATAAAGAATCCACCTGCAATGCAGGAGACACAGGAGACCCGGGTTTGATCCCTGGGTTGGGCAGAGCCTCTGAAAGAGGGCATGGCAACCCACTCTAGTATTCTTGCCTGAAGAATCCCATGGACTGAGGAGCCTGGTGGGCTATAGTCCAAAGGGATGCAGAGTCAGATACAACTAAGTGACTAAGCGCACACACACAGGTCAGTTCGGTATTTGGACAAGAAGCAGCTCTTGAAGGAGCTTTCAGAAACGATGCTTGGCCTTCTATCAGCAGTCCCCCCAAAAGCTTGGAAATATGATGCCCCAAAGGCATCAGACATCAGGAGTGTTGTTACCTCCTGATATTCTCACCATGTCTCCATGAAGGCAGAAATGTAGGTTGTCAGTGTTCGGTCTTTAATTTAGATAAGGAGTTTTCCTTTCCCTGTGAGTGACTGTTGTCATCACAGCTCTCTGAGCTATTGGGCCTAATCTATTTTTTTCCTTGTAAGTTAAAAAAAGTTTTTAAAAAATTTCAA